TAAATATAATAAAATACTGAATATAACTAAATACAATACAAATATAAATATAATAAAACTAATATATTTTTATAAAATAAATGCTATATATTATTTTACCCTTAAACATTTTTATAATATGCTAGAGTAATATAATGAAAACTTAAATTAAAGAATTATGTATTTATAACAAAAACTATTCTATAAATAAAATTTCTAAATTTTTTTAACATTAATAAAAAATAGTATATAAAATTTTAAATAACTATATACTTTGAAAAAATATTAAAAATTTAACAAAAAACTAAAAGAAAAGAAAAATTTTTTATTAATTTTGTTTTAAAAGTTTGTATTATTATATTATTATTATAATTTATATTATACATTTTATTTAAAGTCTTGATATAAATTATTAAAAAAAATCTGATATGTATTTAGATGAAATAATTTTTAAAATAAAGAGAAAAATTAATAAAGAAATCTCAATTTTAATAATAAAGTATTCTTTAAAATATAATAAAATTACATATAAAAGATTTATTATTATAAATATAATTAATTTGCTATAATAATTAAAAATAACACAATTTATTTATAAAATTAGAAAAATATGCTAAAAAAAGAAGTAAGACATTGTGTGATTATTATATAATAATTATTAATACTTATTTTTAATAAATATCTTATTTCTTGATAAGAGTGCAATATATAAATATATACATTATAGATAATATCATATGCTGTTAACCTTACGCTTAGTCTGTCAAACTTAGAGTAACTATAACTTAATAACAGTGAGTGACGTACAAGAAACTACTAAGTTACTATAGAATAAGTCCTATCACAATCAACCTTAAGTTTATACTTTAGATGAATAAGAATAACTTTAACAACTTGTAAATACGATAAATACAATTGACACATTAAAGGATTTTTAATATATGTAATTTTAGAAAGAGATTCCTTTATTTTAGAGATTTGTATCCTTAGCAATCCTTAACCTTAGATTCTAAGTCTTAAACTTGAACTATTAAGTTTTCACTGTTATCTCTGCCTTTTTATAAGAACAAATTTCTATCCTATTTATACAAAAATACAATTATAAGAATTTACTATTTAATGCTAAACTATTTTATAACGCTAAGATAAATATAAAAGATAAATTATAATTTAACGATAATACTAGTATAATAAATAATAATAATAAAATATAATAAAATAAATAAGGAAAAATGTAATTGGTGACTCGTATCGCTATGGCGACTCCTGCCTGATTAGCTAATCAAATTTGAATATCTAAATAAATAATATCTAACCAATTAAACTTAAGTATTTAAATATATTAATCATAACAAAAAACATTTCGTATTGAGCCTATAAAACTAATACGCAAAAAGTTTTGTATTACAAAAATTTTTTCATATTATGTATTATAAATCACGAATGATCATATTACGAGTCACGAGAATTTTTCGTGCCATACATTATGAGTCACGAATTTTATGTTATGCGAGTCAAATTTTCATATGAATATATTGATTTTGTATAACACTAAAGTTCATATAATACGGAAATATCTGATTATACTTCTTTTTTTTGGCTTTTAGCTCTTTGGATCCAAGTCCATAAGTTAATTTTGAAGAGGGGTTCACCTTCCTAACAATTGACAAAGTTATTAGTTTTTTAACGATTCGTCTTCTCTATTACATTGATATCTTTTCTATAGTATTGGATTTTTTTAATTTTTTTAATGATTTTTTAATGTAAAAACTGTACTGTAGTAATAACTTTTTTAAAAATACTTAAATTCAAAGCCATTTTCCATAATCTGATGTGAAATCCTGTTATTCTGTAATAAGAACACAATTCAGTTTTTTTTTCTTTTACCTCTTATCAGCTTTCCTATAGGATACATTTTTAAATATGAAAGAAGAATTGAATATTCAGGATAAAGACTCAGAAGCACTACCGAATATTCAAGACAAAGAGTTTGAAGAACTATTAACGTATAATAGTGCAGAAGATTTCTCCAATGCAGATAGGTAAGCAATTTAGTGTTTAGAGTATTACTATTATAAATTGGGAAGTATATCTAACATATCATCTTATCTTATAGTATATCTGATAAAGTTGTGGATATAGAAGCGGATACAGAAGAGGATGCGAAACTTTTTGTTGTCAAAGTTTTTCAAAATTGGAATCATGCTTCAAAATTTATGAAAAAGTACGTTGCTATCAAGGGTCATGGAGTATGAATTGGCGGCGGTGAGAGGATAGATAAAGTAATGAAAGAAGTATTAAAACAAACTTATTTGTGCTGACATTCTGGAAAAGCAAATTCTAATCAGACAGCGCTTACAGAAAATTAGCGTTTAAATGCATCATCATGTAGAGTTGAGTGCCCATAGAAAGTAAATATTTGGAACAAAAAAAGCAAAGGCTACTTAGAAGTTACGACTTTGCATGATCAGCATATTGGTCATGAATTTTATTCATCAGCAGTTCGATTTGTTCCATTATTACGCAAATTACCCAAGGAAGTCATTCAAGAGATTCATTTTTTAACTGTTGTTGCTAAAGCAAATGCAATAATTCAGTATTGAATTATTAGGTAAAAGTTTAATATTAAAATAATTCGACAAGATTTATATAATACCATTAGCAAGTTTCATCGTGAAGTGACATCGGATGAAGCAGACACTGGAATTTTACTAAGAAGATTATATGATAAAAAGACGGAAGATCCACGTTGAATAATTTCAATAAAGCTTGATCCAGTCACTTCCTCGTTAACTCATCTTTTTTGGATAAGCCCTGAACAACACATTTTATGGTTACACTACCATGATGTAATAATGCATGATAACACCTGCAAAACTAATCGCTATAATTGTCTACTATCCCTCTTTGTCACCTCCAACAATAATTTGAAAACAAGAATTGTGGCCCAAGCGATTGTTGACGATGAAAGTCAACTTTCATATGAGTGGGTCTTTCAATGTGTAAAAGATGCAACTGGCATATTTCTGAAAGTATTTATTATGGATGGTGATCCAGCAGTTGAAGGTGCAGTTTTAACAGAATTCCCTAGTGCTTATCATATACATTGTATATGGCACATAAGTCAGAATTTACCTAAAAGATTAAAAGGAAAGCTTGGTTCAAGTTTTAGTAACTTTATGAAAGACTTTTTAAGACAAGAAACAGTTTAACAAAAACTCAATTTAACGAGAGATGGGAGATGTTATTGCAAAATTACCTAAAGGCAAAGATTATTTAATGCGGTCTTTAGGAAACAATCATCAATCATGGGCATGTGCATTTACAAATCAACATTTTACTACTAGGACACAGTTTACTTCTCATAATAAAAGCAAAAATTCAACATTGAAGCGGCTTTTCAGAAGTGCAAACCTTTCATTATGTGAATTATTTGACGCAATGGAGGAAAGATACTAAGAAGAAAGTGACTATTGCAAGTTTATAAACTGGAAACAAACAATGCCACAAGTAGGACCTCAAAACACAGCGAAAACCATTTTTAGATTAGTAGTACAACAATCAAAGGAATTTTTAATGCCAAATATTATGAAAAAATAAGAAAAACAAATGAATATAAGTCTTTATTATCATGCTACGGAGGTTGAGCCTGAAGTTGTATTCTCTAAAGAGAAGGTAATATATTATCTTTTGATTATGACAAATTGTTTATTATTATATTTCCGACCTAATTGGCCTTAGAGGTAAGGTTTCACTTACGAAATTAAAATAAGTTTCTAAACTAAAATTTAGGTATTTGATGAATCTGATCAGTGTATCAAAAATCTATTTGATTGTTCACAAATACAATTGGGTTCATTTTTGGAGGATACTTCGATTATTCTCAAAATTTGGGAGATTTTTTTATATAACGAATTCAAAGACATCACATTTCATATATCTTTTAACTATGGGACTTTTCTCTATACATGTATGATTAATAAAACCTATGGCTATCTATGTTATCATTTTTATTGTATAATAACCCTTATTCCTACCGCAAGATTTCATATTAGACTTCTTAATCGACGTTGGTATAAAGATACATTACAAGAATTTGATATATCAAATAATGCATTCATTTCAGTCTCTCCCTTTAATGTATTAACATTAAAAGCAAATTCTTTGCCAACGCAATTTTTATATTTATCAAATGTGTTTAATGTTGGGCTTACTATCATCATAGATAAATAATGAGATATCTAAAACTATCTCAAAGAAACGTAAATTCGGCGAACTTTGAGGATTAGGAAGGAAGGTGATGGTTGATGTAATTGAAGATAATAATGAGGATAATTATCATGAACTTCTTAAAATCTTTTTATCGTTACAAACAAAATCACAACAAAGAATTATTGGTAATAGCAATAATGGCAATGGCAATAATAGTGGTATTGATCATAGTGGTAAAATTGATATTATGAGTATTCAAAATCCAGTTGAACGAAGGCCAAAGGGTCGTTCCAAATCCAAGAGGGTTAAAAGTTCCTTAGAGCAACTTAATGTTAAAACTCAATATAAATGCAAATTATGTAAACAAAGGGAACATAACAGCAAGACTTGTAAAGAATAAGAACAATTAAATACTAACACTAATAAAGAAAACATCGACGATAAAAGGTAAGTTTTATTATTTAAATTAGTTAGATCAAGTTGTGATTGAAAATCCTTTAACTATGTTATTATATTTATTTGTATAGCTAAAAGGAATGATATTGAAGGCAAAAATTCAAAGGCTTTATATATCTGAAATTTTTTTTTTTTTTTGTAATCAAATAATAAAAT